AATCTTTATATACAGCCTGCGCACCAGCCGAGGTTTCAAGCTATATGTTTTTTTTATTAAATTGTTTCTACACACGCGAAGTTGCTGTTTGTTTTAAAGGTGAAAGATTAAGTATAATTTTAACGATATCCGTAATTTTGTATTATGTACATACTTTAATTGACATCGATCGGCAGGCGATCGCTAGACAGTAATTGAAATTGAAATTAAACAAAATTTTTTAACAGTGGTAGAGCCACGCGGCAGCTTTTGCTGTCGCACGGATGGGCCGGCTCGAACCGGGGTAGTACCACGACCTCACAGAAAACCAGCGTGAAGTAGAGATTTACCTCTGCGTTTCGCTTGGTGAGTGCAGGTGGCCGGAGGCCCTTTTTACTGGAAATGAGGCATTCCTAGTCCTCACGGGTGACAACGCATCTACATTTTGATTTGTAATAGAGGATAGATGTAGATGTCTATGGGCCGCAGCAACCACTTACCATCAGGTGGACTGTGTGCTCGTTTGTCACCCTTATCCTATAAAAAAAAAAACAAGCGGCGAACTGCGACTTTGCCTGTTGCCTTTCAAACGTTTCAGGTCGATTGAGTAACAAACAAACATCCATACTTTCGCATTTATTATTTCTACTGCATAATAAATGAATAAATGATTAAATCCTACTGGATTTAATCATTTATATTGGTTTATTAGTTGTCAAAATTGCTCTCACTCCTGCGGAACGCATGAAAAAATATAGAGAGAAGTTGAAAGCAGATCCACAAAAATACGAAGAAGTCAAGAAAAAACATGCAGCACGAGTAAAAAATAAAACTAAGAAGATATTTGCACTAACCGAATACGACAAAGAAAAAAGGCGGAAAAATGGAAAGAGCAGAAACGGAAGCAGAAGAAGAATAAAACTCAGGGTAAAAATGAACCAAATATTATATCATCTACTGTGAATACTAGAAATAAGAAGAGGACGTTAAGAAATAGATTAGCCCGTAAATATAATGCCGCCATAAAAAAAATTCTAAATTTGAAAACAGCACTTGAGACGTCAAGAAAACGCCTATATCGTTATAAAAAAGAAACTAATAAAAAAGTTCAAACTCTTGAAGAAACTATTAGTAAAATGAAAGCTAGATATGAGCTGTTAGAGTTGTTTGAAAACGTCATACGAAAATACAATACAATACAATACAATACAATACAATACAATACTCTTTATTGTACACCAAGAAAAGATAACAACATCAAAAAAAAAAAATAAGCAACTATTGAGGGAAATACAAAGGGCGGTCTTATTGCTACATAGCAATCTCTTCCAGACAACCCAGAAGAAGAAATAAATACAAAATAATAAAAAGAACAATGGGTAGGGTGCACTAAATTAAAAAATAATAAAGACAAATAAAAATAAAATACAGATACAAACTTATGCATTAAAAAGACAACATTCTTCAGGCAGATCAATGACCATAATTAAGCGGAGGAAGTGAGAGGGGTTAGAGAGACAAATAGTATTCTTTAATCTGTTTCTGGAACACATTTAAGGATTGAGCACTTCTAATTGACTGGGGTAAGGAGTTCCAAAGTCTTACTCCAAGAATAGAGAATGATTTGTCATAATAAGTCGAGGAGTGCACAGGACATTGGAGGGAAAGATTTTCTTTGGATCGTAAGGAAAAATTCTGACAGGAGCTGAGAAATCTAAAACGTTCTTTTAGATAGGAAGGACTAGCTATATTAAATAAGACGCAGTAGAGAGCAGAAAGTATATGAGTATTCCGACGAAGACGGATTGGGAGCCACTTGAGTTTAGTGCGGTATTCTGAGACATGGTCATATTTGCGAAGTCCAAATATGAACCGAATACAGAGATGGGAACTCCATTATATACAACGGGTTGTAGTTGACATTTTTTTATCTTGCAAATCATTCTTGAACTCCCAATGATTATGGCTTGGGATTTTAAAGGGTTCACTGTTAACCCATAAGAACGACTCCAGTCGAGAATACATGTCAGATCCTTATTGATACATTCCACTGCTTTGGGAAGATCTTCAATGGTTGTTTGTAAGTATATTTGGAGATCATCTGCATACAAGTGGTAGAGAGAAGATATTTGGGATGTAATCGTATTAATAAAGATTGCGAATAAAAGAGGAGATAAGACGCCACCCTGTGGAACGCCAGCTACTGTATCAAGCCACGAAGAAAGTCTATCTTGGACACGAATACGTTGCCGGCGCCCATACAAATAACTATGAAACCAGGTAATTGCAGTTGGAGATATGTTAAGAGAACGCAGAATCCCTAACAGGATGTCATGATCAGTATTAAAGGCATTGCTGAAATCTAGCAACACCAATAATGTGACTTGATGATTTTCCATACCGTGGCGAATGTCGTCCGTGATTTTCAATAACGCCGTAGTCGTACTATGACCAGATCTAAAGCCAGATTGGAAAGGGTTGAGAATGTTATTTCTTAAACAAAAGGAATTAATTTGTTGTTGCACTAGTCGTTCTAAGACTTTGGAAAGGAAAGGAAGAATCGAAATAGGATGATATTCAGAAAAACTTGAAGGATTTGCTTTTTTGGGTATAGGTATGATTTGGGCATCCTTCCATTGGTTAGGGAAAGAAGATGAGGATATGGAAAAGTTTAAGATAAAGGTTATAATAGGTGTTAAAAAATCTAACAAGGGAATGATCATTTTACGACTGACGTCATCACTTCCGACAGCGTCAGAATATATAGAGAGAATGTGTTTCCTAACATCACAATCTGCAAATTGCCGAAATACAAATGGGGAAAAGTCAGGAGTGGGAAACGATGAAAGTTGAGTAAGTGTTGTTGATTTTGCCATATTATCCAAGCAAGAAACAGAAGAAAAATGCTGATCAAGCAAATTTAAATCGACGTTGTTTGGTATAGGACATGAACGTGTTTTTCCAACTCCTATGGACCTTAAAAAGTTCCAAATACGACATGGATCTTCGTTTTGTACTAATTTATGGATATGGCGGCGTCGTAAAGCTCTACACAACTTGTTGCATTGATTCCGCAGGAGTCTGTACTTTTCCCGAATCCTGTCAGTCTTTGGATCTGACCGTAAAGTGTAAGAAATACGAAGAAAGGAATGTTTTTAAAACTTTAACTGAAAATGAAGCCACAAAGAAATTAAAAAAGAAGACATTTGTTTCTAAACTATTAGGTTTAAAGGGAATAGCACGAAAAACAGGTAAAATAACAAATGAAAATGAAATATGCAAAGAAATACGAAGTTTTTTCTTGAGAGATGATATAAGCAAAAGTACGTCTGGGAAAAAAGTGCCGCACATTGAAAAAACAAAAAGAACAGATTAGATATCTTACCCTATTTAATCTGTATCAGATTTATCGAGCAGAAGGCGGAACAAAATCGTATGCCACGTTTTATAAATATCGACCTTTTTATGTTTTATCGCCTACTGTACAGAAAAGAGATACTTGCATCATTTTGAAAAAATGGTCTCTGCTCTACAAAAACTTGGAGCTTTGTCAAAATATAAAGTACTAGAAAATCTTTTGGCTCATTTCACGTGTGATATTAAATCAAAAAAATGTATGTATGGTGAATGTGATCCATGTAAAGGACAAGAATTGGAGTACGATTTAAGAGACAGACAGATAACTGATGAAATGGAATGGGAACAGTGGGAGAACATAAATCATGAATACATAAACACTAAAAAGGACAATAATAAAACTGTAAAAACAAAGCGAATGGCGAAAGTAAGAAAAACAGGGACCGTGGAAACATTAATTCAGAATTTTAAAAGTAATATACCGCTATTCAAAAAACATTATTACAATTGGAAACATCAGCAACACCAATACCGAAAGTGTATAACCGAACTCAAAGAAAATGAAGCCTCTGTGACTTCTCAGAAAATTTCTATGGTAAACTAGCCGAGGAAGTACAATCTATGCATTTCGGTGCCGCGAAACAACAATTTACCCTACATACAGGGATGATTTACTGGGCTAGAGGTTCACAATCATTCTGCAGTATTGCTAATAAAAATGCCCATGATCCAGCAGCTATATGGGCTCACCTTTTGCCAGTCATAAAGTTAGCCAAAGAGTACAATCCTTTACTTAAGGTTATTCACTTTTACTCAGACGGTCCGTGTACTCAGTACCGGCAAAAGAAAAAAAATTTTTACACTATTTATTTACCTTCAAATTAGGCCTTGAGTACTCAACATGGTCATTCACCGAGAGCGAACATGGAAAATCAGTGGCTGATGGAATAGGTGGTGCAGTAAAGAGGTCTCTGGACAAACAGGTAGCTTACGGTAATGATGTTTCCTGTGGTGAGCAAGCTGTGAAGATATAGTCAAAATGCATGAAGTCAGTGAAATGTCTTTATATAATTGACAATGATATAGACAACATAAATAAACTGGTTTCTGAAGACTTGAAGCCTTTAACAGGCACTATGTAGACACACCAAGTTATTGCTAAACCACCTGGCGAAATTCAATATCGCCCACTATCTTGTTTTTGTGGCATCAACAAAGGTTTGTGTGATTGCTTTGGCTTATTTACTCACACCTACGAAAAACCAATCCAAAAAACTGAACTGAGTTGCTCTAATCTAACTAGTAAAGTTACAATAACAGCTGAAATTCATGCAATGCCAATCCCTAGTTCAAAAAAAGTTGTATCTGTCTCGTCCAAACAAACACATAATATTCCTACAAATTTTGAGGAAGAAGAAGACATTATAAAAGTAGAAATAGTTAGCAACAAAGGACAGGAAAAGAAAAAACAAGAGAGAGTAGAAGAAATTTATTCTGCGACATTTAAATGTAGAGAAAAGGATAAAGAAAAAATAGGCAAAGTCAGTGATGAGATAATAGAATCGGAACAAAAAGAAGAACAAGACAAAGAATACGAGATCAGGTGCGGCATCTGATTCAATTATAATTCCTTTAGATAAAGATTTGTTATTTGATTTTAATTTGGGGGACGAAGTCGCTCGCGTCCGTAGGATTTTTACCATCTTGTTCCTACAAGACCCACCCTACACGTGTCCCCTGGGTGGTGCCAAAAGAGTTGACAACGCCGAGCAACAGGCGGCGGTTAAATAACCTGTCCTAGGCTACCACAAGCCTTGAGGCACTAAATATCCTCAAAAAGGGTGGCAGTAGTACCTTGGGAAAGTTCTGCTGATATTTTTCCCGACCCCCCCTTTTATGAAATGTCAAGTAATAGAGAGTGCGATTTGTCATGCGATCCGGCTAACCCCCGGCGCTCTCCGGTACCCGGACCTGAGAGTGTGAAATCTGCTACCGAAGACACCACTGGAGTGAGTAACCAGGCTCCGGTGCCTGTAAATGTTACTGGAAAAAAGACTAATACAACAAGCATTCCATTCTAGCTTATTTATGACAAGATCAAGAAGCAAATCTCTGAGCAACACGCCATGCTCTAGTAGTGAAGAGGCGTCTGACAAAGGAATCCAACAGAGCCACTTTAATGATACGGAACCACAAAAAGATATTACTATGCACCCTCCTGACTGGCAAAGAGTACCCTCAATTAGAAACCCCAAAAGGAAAAAACTGGCATGCACACCTTCACCAGACAAAATTGAAACAAGCAATAGCTTTGATGGACTAACAGTTGACTTAACTGAAGAACAAGCAACGGAGCCAAAGACTAAGAAGCCCAGCAAACCTCCACCGATTATTCTATATGGTGTTGAAGATCTGAACAAACTGACAGAACTCCTGGAATCAGTTACAGAGAAATCTCATTTCACTTACAAAATTATCAACAGAAATCAATTGAAAATTCTGACCTACGATGTTGATATATACAAAATATTAATATCTGTAATTCGTGAAAACGTTTTGATTGGACACACCTTTAATCGGAAAGATAACAGAAATTACCGAATAGTTATTAGAAACCTACACCACACAACTCCTTTTCAGGCTATTAAAGCAGCCATTGAGGAAACTGGTAATACTGTGACAGGTGAAATAATAAATGCTAAGTTTGGTCCTGATAAGAAACCTACAACCACCTTCTTCGCAAATCTTCTACCAGGCCCGAATAATAAGGCAGTGAAAAACATTAAGGCTATATATCACCAAACCGTCATTATAGAAGATCCAAGAAAACGAAAAACAGTAGTACAGTGTCAAAGGTGTCAACAATATGGACACACAAAAAACTATTGCATGAAACCATTTCGTTGTGTAAAATGTGCAGGAGCTCACAAAACCTTAGCATGTACAAAGACCGATCGCAATACACCAGCCACATGTGCTCTATGCCTGGGTCCTCATCCAGCTAACTACAAAGGGTGTGAGGTGTACAAGGAAATCCAAAAACCAGTATCCAAGACAAAAGAGAGACAACTATGCACACAAAAACAGTAACTATATAAAAACTCATCCAATTAACATGAATTCAGTTCAGGACAGACCACCATCTAACAAAAATATAAAGGAAAAGAAAACATATGCTGAAACTACCTATTCAAAGCCCAATCCACAAGAGCCAGATATGCAGTCAACTTCATTTAAAACATTAGAATACATGTTTATCAAACAATCTGAAAAAATTGATTTTCTCCTTCAACAAATGAGTACATTACTCCAACTAATTACAACGCTAATCTCCAAGCCTTCAAAATAGCTCTTAAAATAGCTACTTGGAACATTAACGGCTTATCTCCCAACAAAGACGAAGTAGAGATACTACTTCAGTTGCATAAAACTGATATTTTTCTCATATCAGAAACCCACTTTGTTAGCAGCAGTCTGATAAAGATAAAAGGGTATAATATATACCACACAAATCATCCAGATGGAACTGCACATGGCGGAACCGCTGTCATAATAAAATCGTCAATAAAGCACCATGAACTGCCTCAATACAGCACTGAACAAATCCAAGCAACTTCAGTATCTGTCTTGGACAGAAATGGCGATTTCACCATCTCGGCTGTTTACTGTCCACCGAAGAACAGGATATCTGAGGAGCTATTTTCAGAGTTCTTTGTTAGCCTTGGTTCTCGCTTTGTTGTTGGTGGTGACTGGAATGCCAAGCATCTTCATTGGGGCTCCAGACTGATAACCACTCGGGGAAGAGAGCTGAAGAAGAGTTTGGATAAGAACTATCTCACAACTATTGCAACACCAGAACCTACACATTGGCCTACAGACCCAAATACACTGCCTGATGTCCTGGACTTCTTTGTTTCTAAAGGCATGTCGCGACTCTTATTCACAATCAGATCAACATTAGATGGTTCTTCTAATCATATCCCAGTGTTTCTTACCATGGGCGCCAATATAATAACTAATATGAAACAACTACAACTCTACAATAAGAGAACAGACTGGGAAGCATTTCGTAGTATAGTCAATGATGAGCTTCAACTACAAATGGCACTAAAATCCGAGGAAGACATTGACAATGTTACTACTAAGTTTATGACTACAGTGCAGTCAGCTTGTTGGAAATGTACTCCTGAAATATCCAACTCTTCACTGAGACGCAATGCAGTTCCATCCGATATCAAAATCCAAATTATTGAAAAAAGAAGGCTACGTAGGGTATGGCACAATAGTAGACATCCGGAAGACAAAACAGCGCTTAATAAGGCAATTAAAGACCTTAAAGACATCATGATCAAAGCAAATAATACTTCAACGGAATCCTTCCTGGAATCATTGACAGCCACAAGTGATACTAACTATTCCCTTTATCGCGCTTGTAAACATCTCAATCAGCCCACTAACCCCAAGCCCCCACTCAGACTGGAGGGCAACTTATGGGCTAGAAGCCAACAACAAAAAGCCGATGTTTTTGGAGATCACTTGGCCCAAATATTCACGCCAAACGAAACTGATCCTAACAGTGATGAAACAGATATTGAAGATGTCCTTGGCCAAACTTTTCAATTGGATCTACCCATTGCAGCAACTAACGCCAGAGAGATTATTAATATAATAAATCGTATGGATGCCAAGAAGGCGCCTGGCTTTGACCTAATTGACAAAAAAGTACTTTCGGAATTACCCAAAAAAGGTATTATGTTCCTCACCATTTTGATTAATGGAATCATTCGCATTGGCTACTTCCCAGCACTGTGGAAAGTTTCACAAATTATAATGATAGGGAAGCCTGGTAAACCTGTTCATGAAATAACCTCATACCGACCAATCAGTTTGTTACCAGTAACATCAAAAGTTTGTGAAAAAGTATTGTTGCAAAGGCTTATGAAAGAACTCCGTAAAAGAAGTATCATTCCAGACCACCAATTTGGATTCCGACAGGATCATGGTACGGTTGAACAGGTACATAGGGTTTGCAGAACAATCAGAAATGCACTAGAACATAAAGAATACTGCTCCTCTGCATTCCTGGATGTGCAGCAGGCTTTTGATAAGGTTTGGCATACAGGGCTACTATTTAAAATTAAATCTCTTTTACCTCATACATTCTTCGGATTACTGAAGTCTTACCTGACCGATAGAATCTTTCAAGTCAAAGAAGGTGAACATACTTCCACGTTCCATCCAATTAAGGCTGGTGTGCCACAAGGCTCAGTGCTTGGTCCTGTGCTCTACACAATTTACACAAATGACCTACCACAAATTGACAACGTCACTGTGGCTACCTTTGCGGATGATACTGCTGTTCTTGCTTGCAGTAGAAGTCCTGACGACGCTTCAGCAATCCTACAACATAGTCTAGATGAGATTGACAAATGGCTATCAAAGTGGAAAATAAAGGCTAGTGCCACAAAATCAGTCCATGTTACGTTTACCTTGCGTCGAGGAAACTGTCCGCCTGTCTCATTGCGTAACAATTCGCTCCCGCAAAGTGACAACGTTAGGTACTTGGGCATGTACTTGGATAGAAGGCTCACTTGGAAGAAGCACATCCAAACCAAAAAGGATGAGATCTACCATAGATACAGAGGACTGTATTGGATGCTCGCAAGGAATTCCAGACTTTCCTTAGACAATAAGCTCCTGCTATATAACATCATTATAAAACCGATATGGACATACGGCATACAACTTTGGGGATCAGCATGTGACTCCAACATCGAAATCATTCAAAGAACCCAAAACTACATACTTAAACAACTTTCAAACGCACCATGGTTCATAAGAACATCTGAAATCCATGAACACCTTAAAATGAACTCAGTTAAGGAAGAAATTAGGCGCTACAGCTGCAACTACAAAACAAGACTTGGCAACCATCCAAATCAATTAGCATGGCAGTTGACAATGCCACAAGTGATTCGTCGCCTAAAGAGAAGGCATATACTTGACAATGTATAGTTGAGACTTATGGAGTGCTTCCCGCTGGGGAAGTTTTCTCTGCACGCCAATCTGTCCTACAACCAATCTGCTCATAGTCCATCGACTGATTGCATGATAAATCACAAAAAAAAAATTGATTTTAATAATTTTGAAGAAATGTGTGATAATCTAGAAGTTTTAGGCGAGACAGACGTCAATGTCGAAGACAGCAAACATAAAATAACCAAAAGAAAGCGAAATTGCATTCAAGAAGAAAAGTGGGAAATAAAATCACAAAAGATACCTAAATTAAATACAGAAAAAGAAAATATTTTTTCAAAAAAATCAGAGAAAGTCTATTAGAAATGTCGTCAGCCGTCACTCTGAGTGCCATAAATGTAAAATACGAACATCATTGCAATTGATGAAAAAATGTATTGCGTGTAAAAATTTTGTTTGTTTTACTTGCGATAATTCAATTATACCCAAAGATTGTTACAACAATTTTATTTGTGATATTTGTTTTGGTGAGTAGACCTTTAATTCCATTTTCTCTTTATTTTTTATGGTACATAAAGTGTTTATTGTAAACGATGCCTAACTTTTTCTATACACTTCCAATGAGTGATGGTCCCCTGTAGAGAGGTTTTTTTAGTTAATATTTTTATTGTTAAATAAAGAAGATCTCATTTATTTAATTTTCTACGTGGTAGAGCCATGCTGCAGCTATATTATGGTTGTAGCACGAATGGGTCGGCTCGACCGGGGAAGGACCACGCTCTCACAGAAAACCAGCGTAAAATAGCAGCTTAACGCTGCTGTGTTTCGTATGGTGAGTGTAGAGAACCGGAGACCCTTTTTACTGGCAAAAAGGCATTCCATCTTAGTCCTCACGGGTGACAACGCATCTGCATCTTGAGTCTTTATTGAGGATAGATGTAGATGTCTATGGGTCACATAAACCACTTACCATCAGGTGGACTGTGTGCTCGTTTATCACCCTATCCAATAAAAAAAAATTAAGATTAATCTACTCGATACTAGTATTTAATTATTTGTTTAAATTTTAATTCAGATTCTCATTTTTTGCCAAATAAACAAAACTTTGTTATGTTAATTTAATCATACTGTAACTCAGAAAATTATGTTTTTTCTATGTTTGAATAATGTTTTAGAAATTTTTGAGAGAATTTAAAATAATATGTTTAGTTTGTTCAATAAATAACGATTGTTAATTGTATTTTTCTTTTAAATAAAAAAAAAATTAAATAAACGGGAGTACTTTATGTGTAACGCAGCGGAAGACGATTTCAGGTCATTGTCCATTCAAATTGCATCTTTGTCAAATTCTACCGCATTTTCTCTTATTTTTTGTTATTATAACAAAATTTAGATATTATAGAGTCAATCTGAAGTAAGAAACTCCCCAATATCATGACAATTTTTTTGGCGTCATTTTGTCACCATACAAACTTTTATAAAACCGCCCAAATATTTCTGAATATTATTATCGCATTTTTATTTTCTTTATTACTTTAGTTACATTCAGAAATTAGAAATAAGACAAACAAGTAAGTAATGAAACTTAAGTTACTTTTTTATTAGGTCAGTTAAAAAGTAAATAATAGTGTTAATATAAAATAGAATCAGGCGTTACTTTGCGGAAATCCATTATATAAAAGCTTTTACAAAAATTTACTTCGCAAATATCCGCGTTATAAAATAAAATGATGTGTGTCACTTAGCGGTTAGCCCCCGTAGAGTCTATATCACCTGAGGATGCCTCGTGTAGAGGCGAAACACGTGTCGTATTATCGTCAGTGGTGTGTCTTGCCTAGTGTAGTGGTGTTGGGAGTAGCGGTGCTGGGATTAGTGGTGACGGGGATAGTGCACGCAATTGAGGGAGGGCGGGAGGTGCTTCTTCTTCTTCATACTAGGTAAGACACATCATTTTATTTTATAATGCGGATATTTGCGAAGTAAATTTTTGTAAAAGCTTTTAAATAGTATTAATTATTTCGCATCATTAGTCATGTTCAACTGACAGACGTCAGAATCGTTCTTTTAATGGCCCCACTGCATTGTAACAATTTTGAAAACATAATAATGAAAAAACCTTAGATTATTAATAGGTCATCGCGCGCTCTGACTAGATACCGCGCTACCTGAAAATAACAGCTCCGTGAATGCGGCATCTCAATATCAAAATATTTTAAAATGTATTTACTACATAAGTAAAAAAATGTCTAAAGAAAGCTCATTTTGTCCATAAGAGTGCTTTTTACATGCACTTTGAAATTAGGCAAAGGCAAATCAGTACACTGCATATGAAACCCTCTTTATTTTGTGTCCATGACAATTATGTATATTTGTGCTACAGTTACCACTTGCCATTAGGTAACTGTAATTTATTTTAATAATATCAGAAAATGTGTTTAACCTTACCTGTTTCATGATTCCTAATTTCTTCAAATTTGGAATCCTCATTTTCGAAAGTCTCTACCTCAACTTTAACAAATTCAAGGCTAAAATTTTCGTCCTTAAAATCATTTTCTATATCACACTCAACTGGCCTGATATCTATATGATAAATTGTTGAGTATTGAATCTTATCTCTAGCCTCGTGCGGTTTTGACTGAAACCAAATTATTTTTTTAAATAAGAAAAGAAAGCGAGGGTATTGTACTTCGAAATAAACTTAAATAAGAATGTAGGCAGGGATGGCGAACCAATTGCACGCGACACAATATATTGGTCACGCCACCAATCACGAAGTTCGCTATGAAATATTATATTACGAACGAACGCGAGTGATCCTACGCTACGGAGTGTTCGGGAGCGGTGCGCAGGGCGGCGGTACTAGCGAAGTCTAAATTATTTTACGGCACGTCTATGGCCACTTTAAACATTTCTTTAGAAAAATGGCACATTGATACATAAAGGTTTGCTACCCCTGCAATAGGGTAATATATAACAGTATAAGCAGTTAGACAATTATTTTTGTGAAAGTAAGTACTTAACTTACTGAAATACATAAAGTATAGAAGATTGCTCTAATGAAAAAGTAAGTTGGATTCAAAAGATAAAGTTAACTTTGCAGTAAAAAAAGCATTCACCCATATGGCAATCGGAAGCAGTACAGAAGGCGCGAGACGTAGCGATAGTCGAGGTGCCTGCCAAGTGATGATTATGGCAAATACTTTATTATAATGGGAATGACCCATCAAGCAGTGAACTTTTATTAAATAAGAAGTGTAGTACCGTTGATCACTTAGTAGCAGTGCAAGAATATCCCTTATATACTGTGTCTTAAGAGGCGACAGAGGGAAACAGAAACAGGAGTTGGGCAGCGGCTGCTTCCTGAAAACTCAGATTAATATAAACTGGTTGCCAATCAAATTTGGCAAAATCCCTCCTATGAAGCAATCTATGAGGGAGGCCTATGTTCAGCAGTGGACTTTTATAGGTTGTAATGGATGGAATGGATAATTACCATGGACCCTCCTGCAAGCAACTGCTCCACAACTGCATTTGACTCAATAGCCTGCTGTTGTAATCTTCCGCAACGAATGAGTCTTGCATGACAAATGTAACAGACAATTATGGGCCCCTCATTCTCAGCCATCTGAAAATATGAAAGTTCATCATTAATATGTAAAACTGTCTACCACAATTCTCTTCATCAACATAATTTTCTATAATATTGAAGTGACAAACAAACTTACAATCCACCTGATAGTAAGTGGCAACTGCAACAAAGGACTAAGATGTAACGCTTCACAGCCTGTTATTATACTGGCTCTCAATGTCCTTCACACTTGGGACACATACTGCTGCTTGGTGGCAGAAATAGTTAAGAGGACGATAACTACCCAGACAGACTCCTAGACAGTAAAAGTCTTACCACCTAGTGAATCATCATCACTGCAACAACACAGTCCTAAGCCACTTACATCCGTTGACTTCCTGTCTTACCAGTTGCCACTATCTAGTGGGGGGCCACTCTACAATTTACTTACCAGCATGAGGCTACCACTTGAGAATTATGTTTCCTCATCTATTGTTAGTTGTGCAAGCTATAAGGACACAATTCTCTAATTAATTTAATATATTGTGTGTCAAGTATGTAGGAGTCTCCATAACGTTAACAGATATAATTTTCTACTGACTTCAAAAAGGACACGGTACTCATTTTGACTGTTTTCTTTTCTTCTATGTGTGTTACCTCATAACTTTTTTCTGGGAGAACCGATTTCAATTATTCGTTTTTATTTGAAAGCTGGTGCTTCTCATGTGGGCCCATATAAATTTGATCAAGGTCTGACCAATATTTTTTGAGTTATTCTTAATAATTTATATTGAAGTCGGTTGTACAAAATTCTTAATTTTAAATTATTAGAATTTTAAGCCTTAATATTTTTTATAGGATAGGGTGACAAGCGACCACACAGTTCAACAGACCGAAAAGCAGAACAGACTTCAATTCAGACTCTTGGGACCTTCACAGAGGTAAATTTAAGACTGGGCTTTCAAAATTCAATCTTACTAACCCTACTTTCAAATTTTAACATTAAACTAGCATCACTATTAACATTACAAATACTTCTCTTATTTGCTCCAAGTAAACTAAAAATGCTTGCTTTAAAATTTTAACCGCAACGAACAATTGAAATTTACGTTGCTGGCAAAACGTATCGCTAGCCACGCAATGAAGTTATTAGATATACGATAGATATTAATAGCAAGGAATTAAGTGCTAATTAGGTACTGCAAGTAAAAGCAATGGACAAGGCACCTCTAATAAAAATAAAGTTGTTATTCAGAACAAAGCAGATGCAAAAGTGAGGTAATTTCTGTGTCTGTAAGCACAAACGCACTCTAATCTCCCACTTTAATTGTCCACTGGAACAGCTTTAAGTGAGTGAAAGTCCAAACCAGGGTGGATATTTATTTCTTGACGGAAAATCACAATACTCAATAATATGTACTATAATACTATATTATTGTACAGAAGATACGGCGAAAAAATATATGCAGCGGTACGGATCGCGTGGAAGGAGACCAAAGAGTATAGTAACTGTCCTATACAGGAAGGAGACACAAGGTACCTTTCTGGCTGATTCTTATATCACGCAATAAAACTGATTTATCCATTTAATTATCATAAAATGAACATATATTAAATAAACAAAAATACTATATTATTTCTAATTTTTCGTTTTAAAATGGCAGGTATGACATTTGTGTGTATATTTTGTTATTAATTTTTTTTTAAGGAAAAATGGTAATTTTTTTCATTATCCTAGGATTTTTCTTGGTAGTTATACATTGTTCTTCATGACTTATATGCTTTTGTTCTAAAAATTACATCAAATTAATTTCTTTTGACATTATTGATAAGGACTGAATAACATATCGATAACTTTGTTATTTCATTAACTCTTTAAAGGCCTAAGAATCCAAAGAGAAAAATTGTAATTCCATTTTGTTCATTACTCCAACAAATTATGAACCCGGCTTTAATTCAGCAGCCCTCCGCGCACCGCAAACGTTACTCACATCGAATGTTCAGGGCTTCTTCAAACATTTGCCGCAAGCCACCGAAGAAGAACGCATGTGTTTTGTCTATACGATATAATGCCGGATCGTTCTTTGTACGGAGTTTGTCCAAGTAATTTTCATTCTTAAAGTACTTCAGATCTCGGTAAGTATATTTAATCTACACAATATGACTTTTTTATTATGTAAATGGCAATAAGAAACTATTAAGGCGCTACTTTTTCTCTCATAATTCGAACGATTTTATTGCTCATTTTGAGTATTTATGTGAAATTCTCATTCGCCTAGATTTCATTCCCTCTACTTTAACTTATGCAGAGCACATCAAGCAACTGTTTATGTAAAACCAAAATTAGAAAACTGCGATACTAAATGAATAAAGAAAATAAAATATTGAGGCAAACTATATTATTTTAGAAACAAAATTTAAAATACAGAAATCTTATAAAATCTTTAGAAGAAAATAAAAATAAAGACAATAAAGATAATAAGGAAGTCAGCAAGAAGAAACAAGATGTCTCTTATAAAGAAAAGCTTTAAAATATAGTTGTGAGATTTTTTGAGATAGATATAATTAGTTATTTAGCACCTGGCAAAAATCAGTATATTAAGAAGTCTGGTGTAAGAAAAGCAAAAAGGTATTTGTCAGGTACATTAACTGATATTTTAAAAAAAATTTAGAATGATTACTCTATAATACGCTTGAGGTATTCCTCGTTTTGTAAGCTACGACCATTTTGGATATGTTTCCCACGAAAAAGATGAAACACTTGTCTATGTAAGACCCATTTAAATATGGAATTGTTGGTTTCTGGCTTACATCGAGCTAGGGTTATGTCAGAAAGTAATGCAAGTCAACTGTTTAAATCTTCGTGCTGCAATGAATATGACGAAAAATGCTTAGGTGGTTTGTGCGGGTCTTGCAAGAATAAGAGTGTTAAGTATTTAGCGTTTAATGATTCAACAAGAGTAGACTACTACCAATACTACTACTACTAAGAAAGAAAACCCCAAGTCATTATTATCTAAAATTAAATCTGTAGAGCCTACTAGAGGAGTTATATCGAAAGTAGAAGAGTAAATTGAGAAATTTCTTTCACATTTTCAAAATATTCTTGCTCAATACAAATCTTTAAATGAAATCAAATCAAATCTAAAAATGACCGAGGCTATTATTCATTGTGACTGAAGTGAGAATTACACTCTCAAATACGCTGAAGAGGTCCAGTCACTTCACTTTGGTGGTAGTCGACAACATGTTAGCCTACATACACCGATAGTATACATTTGTGATCAATTTTGGGGTGATAACTACTTCTGCTATTGGGGCACACTTAAAATTCTTACTACATTACATCAAAAATAACAATCCTCACGTTAACACTATTCATTTTATGTCTGACGGTCCAACTAGTCAGTACCACAATAAATTTACTTTTTGCGTGATTTCTAAATTACATGTAGATTTTTATGGACTTGGATTTGTTACATGGAATTATAGTGAGGCTGGCCACGGTAAAGGTGCACCAGATGGGGTAGGCGGTGCTTTAAAAACTAGAATGGATCGTGTTGTTAGTTACGGTCGTGACCTTGGTAATTTTGTATACTTTCTAACAGCTTTGAGACATTTCGAAAATTTTGAGTAACATTCAAATTGAAGTTGTTGACCAAGTTGATATTATGAATATAGAAGCGTTATTGCCTGCCACAGATCCTTCTTTTGAAGGTACGTTACGTATACATCAGGTTTTATGGGAGACTAAAACACCTGTCATGGCTGCTAGAAGCTTAATTGCTTCTCGTGTATGTGTATACCAAGTCAATGTTTACATGGAAAACATTTAGGCTTTATAAACTTGATTCAAGACCCGGAGCAAAAATAATCTCATCCACCTGTTGTGAAAAAGGTTATAGCGGAATCCAAGAAGGTTATGGTTCTTTCAGACATTAGTCTAAATGTTACCAATCTGAGGATTTCTAGGAAACGGCATTTTGCTGATGATAAATAACTTGAAATTAGGAATTCTAGCACTTATAATATTTCATTGTGTGACATTGCGAAACATTTTGAATCATTAATTGATTCCACTGTCGTTTCTCAAAATGAACCCCAACCTTCATCATCGCAGCGTCTACCTTAATTATTATACATAATAATAAGTATTTTTATAATTTGATTGCTTAACCAAATATTTGTAGCTCATATTTGTCGATTTGTTGAAGATTATTAATAATTTTTTGTATCGTTGGTTATTTGTTAGATATAATTATTAATTACAATATGTAACTAACAAGAATTTTGATAAATTTGTCAAGTGGGTTATCAAAATCCATAATCAAACTATTATAAATTGAAAAAATGTGTGGCGTACCTATCGTGTTTTATAAGCTCTTGATGCCGTACATTTTATTGTTTTTTTTAAGTTTCAATATCGGTTCTTATAATCAACGTAAAAAATACACGAGAGTATTTTTGTTAAATAACGTACCTATAATACAGTTTTCTCATGAATATTACCCACCTTAATTATTTAAATAATTGTGAATTATTTTTAAAAGTCCAAATGTTTACGGTAGATAGGTAAGTGAAATTTGTCACCTAATGAATATTGTTGATTAGTTTTTAGTTAAGAATAAGCGTTTTATTTCATTCCCCTTTATTTTATTTCATTCCCGTCCCGTGCGGTAAATTTAAATGACTTGTAACTCTTAAGGTAATTAGTAGAACAAAGTGCCTCATACATAATGTTTTATATATTTAAACCTAGAACACGATAGATAAATAAATCCTGGTAATATGAATGTTTTTTTAAATTCTTCATTTTATTGCATGATATAAGAATCACTGTTCTATGGCACAAATTCAGTAAGTTACGAGCTCGCGGGCTCAAACGCGTGTTGCAAAACTGCAGTCTCGGTGTCTCTTCTAGTACGTAGTAGAAGGGTTTCAAGCTAATTTGTTGTTTTTCAGGTTCTAGTTGCAATTGTCACTATATTTAACACTACATCTTAGCCTAGCATTAAGAAATTAACAAACTTACAAAACTGTTCGTCAATGTTTTGTACAAATTTTGGAGACCAGTCTCCTTTAGTACATACATGCGTATATTACCGCATAAACAAATTCTACAAACTTCACTAAAGGCCATAGCTTTAATATAATTGAATTTGAATCAATTTTCAATTCTAATTCTCTTTTTCATCAATAACGCAGATAAATAAATATTATGCAAAGAGAATATAACCACTATATGCTACATATATATTTATCTATGACTATATGTAGCAAACTATAATACATAATAATCAATAGTAAAATATTTTTTTATAACTGGCTTTACGGCTCTGGGTTCTAGCCATAGAATTATTACGTAAAGAATCCTAGTACGCGCACCGAAAGTGAAGCAAGTCAAACTAACGCGAAACCGAGTAAATTCATTGAGCGACCCGTCCATAAATCTACTGTATATATTGTAGAGATGGGTGATGCAAACCGTATACTGATACGAAATCTATATATCGGTACAATATCTAAAAACCGCTTACTGATTCGTTTCAAAACTATATATTACAAAATCTGATATTTGCGTACCGCCGCGATGTCTATATCGCTTCACATCGGTCGGTAGCTAGATTCGCCGTGTGCGACCGTAGATAGAGGATTGACTAGATAAAGCATTCGCGTATGCTTTTGAGATAGAAATAGGCGGGAGGTACTTTCACTGGGTTACCAGATATTATTCCATTTCCCCCGTTATGGGTTTATTTATATTCACAGCACTTACATTCATACAAAAAACTTAATTGTTACCATAAAAAATGTTCTTTTATAATTCAGATGATTAATTAAGTTCTCTTGAAAATACATTCTGTGACTAAAAACTACGGGCGGAAACGGCGTAAAAACAAAATCATCATTCTGTATTCAACGGCGCATCGACGATTTTACTGGACATCCAATAACTCTTTGGATTTCGACGGCACTAAGTGAAGGCGCTAATAGTACAAAGTGTGATATCGCTAATAAATAACAATATGTTATGTATGTACTTAAATATTAATTGAAAATAAAAATATTAAATAATAAACAAAAATTTCCTTGTGTCAAGTTTTGTTGCTTTTACAAAAAAAACAATGTTTTAACATACCATTCCATCACAAGTTCAGTGTTGAACACAGACCTTCGAAAGGAAAGGGTTTCCACTTACGTTTTGTAGTACAAAACACGGTTATGAGCCTACTTTCGCGATTTCCTGCATGTTTTGCTAAGTTGGTGTCTTGTGTGCGGCAAGTTGTGGCGTACAAGAGAATTTGTCTGTACACGGGATGATATTACCCCACATCGTAAGCAATAATACAAGATGGGGATGGGGCAGCAGCACTTTCCCGATGAAAACTTAAAATAATAAATAAATGCGGTGGCCAACCAGCATAACATATATTTTCACGCAGGCGTGGAAACTATGGCAAAAGTCATCCTATGAGGATATCTGTGGAAGGCCTTTATTAGGTGACTTACTTATGGTTACGTGGTTTAATCATGTTACCTAATGGTTAAGGTGGTAAAATGTTTAGTTAATATTTTTTTTTTATAGGATCGGGTGACAAACAGGCACACAGTCCACCTGATGGTAAGTGGTTACTGTGACCCATAGACATCTAAATCTATCCTCAAAAAAGACTCAAGATGCAGATGCGTTGTCACCCGTGAGGACTAAGATGGAATGCCTCTTTGCCAGTAAAAAGAGTCTCCGGTTCTCTACACTCACCATACGAAACACAGCAGCGTTAAGCTGCTATTTAACGCTGGTTTTCTGTGAGAGCGTGGTCTTTCCCCGGTCGAGCCGACCCATTCGTGCTACAACCATAATATAGCTGCAACATGGCTCTACCACGTAAGAAAATATACGTTGTAAAGCATCAAAAAAGGGTTTGTTTTTGTAATATGTTGGTATATAAAACAAAAACGAATGTTTTATAATATTCTATTTTAATTTACCATGCAGTGTAAGATTATCTGCTATCTCATATCATTCCATGGGTGGTGTGTGAGGCGACATAGGGAAACATCAAAGAAGATAAACAGCAGCATTGTCCTGATAACAGCTAAATAAAAAAAACAGTGGTTGACAACCCGCTTTCCAAGCGTTGAAACTATGCGAAATAACTATAATCATGTTTATGTTCAACAGTGGACTTTTGATAGACTGTAAAGATATATATTCTATTTAAATGAAAATATATTGAAGTTTAAAAAGGAAAAAGAACTAAATTTTGTGTACTTACATAACATTTAGAAATATTAACAATGTATGTAACATTCATAAGTAAAAGAAATGAAAACACAATTATACATACATACATACATATAATCACGCCTCTTTCCCGTGGGGGTAGGCAGAGACCAGTTCTTTCCACTTGCTACGATCCTTGCATACTTGTTTTGCTTCGTCCACTTTCATTATTCCCTTCATACATGCTCTACGGTTTAGGGTACTCTTGACCTGGCCTTTTTTCAAGACGTCCCTGATTTGGTCTAGAAATGTCCGCCTAGGTCTACCCCTTCCAACACTTTCATTCACACTCGCCTTATACACTTTTTTCGTCAATCGTTCTTCATTCATTCTCTCGACATGGCCAAACCATCTCAGCATACCTTTCTCAATTTTTGTCACTACATCTTCTTTCAGACCACAACGTTTCCTTATCTCACTATTTCTTAGCCTGTCACTTAGTTTAACTCCTATCATACTTCTTAATGCTCTCATCTCAACTGCATTTATTCTGCTTTCATGTTTCTTCTGCCATACCCAAGTTTCACTTCCGTACATGAGGGTCGGAACCAACACCCCCTCATGCACAGCCAAACGAGCCTTGTTAGACACCTTCCGACTGCTCATAAAGGAGTGCAAAGCTCCATTCATCATGTTTCCTGCATTCACTCTTCTTTCGATATCACTCTCACACTTTCCATCTCTTGTAAACTTTGAACCCAGATACACAAACTCTTTCACCTGTTCAATTTGTTCATCTTCAATCACAATGTTGCAGTCTGTCACTGCCTCATCTTTTTCAAACACCATCACTTTCGTCTTCCTTACATTCATCTTCATTCCCTTTCTAACAAAAGCTCCACTCATAGCAGTTACCATCTCCTGCAACTCCTCGGCCGAAGACGCAAGTAATACTTGGTCATCAGCATAGAGAAAACATTTGACGAGTAACTCATTCATTCTCAACCCACTTTCATTCTCTTTTAAATCTGTCAAACAATTGTCCATGAACAGATTAAACAGCCACGGTGACGCTACACATCCCTGTCTAACACCTTTTTCGATATTAAACCATTCATTGTATGCCCCGTTTATCCTTACACAAGCACTAGAATCCCTATAAAGAGATTGCATTGCTCGTATGAGGATACTGCTCACACCGTTCACGGACAGTGCTGACCACAATTCATTCCTCACCACTCTATCATAGGCCTTTTCTAGATCTACGAACGCGCAGTAGACTTTCTTGTTTTTAGCCAAATACTTTTCGGCTATGCACCGCAAGGAAAAGACCTGATCCGTACATCCCATTCCCTTTCTAAATCCCGCTTGTGCATCCCATACTTTCTTGTCTGTTTCATTCACAATCCTTTCAATCAACACTTTCGCATACAATTTACCGACGACGCTGAGAAGGCTTATACCGCGGTAATTTATGCAGTCCTGCTGTGACCCTTTTCCCTTATACAATGGCACGATTACGGCTTTGCACCAGTCTCCCGGTACTTGCCCATTTCGCCAGCACAGATTGAAAAGGCGGTACAGCTGACTAGCCACCAGGCCCTGTCCAGCCCTCAGCATCTCGACGGTAATTCTGTCATACCCTGCAGCCTTACCTAATCTCATACTTTTCAACGCTTTCACTATTTCATCCATGCTTATCTCATTTTCATCAACATTTATATTAGTTTCCATGGAAGGTGGCAGATGCTGTACCTGCACTTCCTCTCTTTCAAACAAACTTTCAAAATACTCTTTCCATCTCTTTAACACACATTCTTCTTCTTTTATAATGCTCCCATCTTGACTCCTGATTGTACTCAGCTCCGAGGTAGAAGTTTTTCCTCTGGCTGCTTTGATGGTTTTCCAGAAAAACTTAATGTTTGACTGGAAAACTTCAGTGAGCCTCCTATCGAAATCATCATTTCGTTCTTCTTTCTTTCTAGACACAATTTCTTTCGCTGCTGTTTTCAATCTTTTATACTTCGTTCTTGCTTCCTTTATCTCGTCATCCGTTGCCTTTTGAACTTTTTGGTTAGCTTTTGTTGCTAACCAATCCAACCACGCTTTCTTTTTTTCTTGCACAACCTTTTGTACATCTTTATCCATCCACACGTTATTATTCTTTCTTCCTTTCCTTCTTTTAGCTACCCCGCATACCTCAATAGCAACATTTACGACCCCTTCCTTAAATGTCTCCCATAAATCTTCAATCACTCCTATCTCTTCTATCCCTTTAAAACTTTCTTTCAGTTTCTCTACATACTCGTCTTTCTTTTCTTTTTCTTGTAGATTTTCCACTTTTACTCTATCCAAAACACTCGTAGGCTCGGCCACTCGGTGTCGCCACCGTTTAAAGAGGCCACGCATTCGGGCTATGACCCATCTCCACGCAGATCCGTCGGTGCATAGACCCCAAGGATAAACAAGCGAGTGAGTCCGACTTTTAACCTAATCCAGAGGAGTCTTGGGCTTATACATTCATGCTCCAACACACATTCAACCATTCGAGATGAAAGAATCACACCAACTCCCTGACAGCCTCGGCTGGTCTCCCGACCAGTATGCCGTGTAGGGGCCATGAACCGTGGTGTCACATCCTTTCCTCTTGGTTTCGTTCACGCACAGAATATCAATGCAACGTTCATCCACATTCATCACACAATTATATATTAAATATAATTCAATAAAATCAAAATAAACAAATGATTACTTATTAATTTTTGATCACATTAATAAACAACAAATTTAACAAAATTTTTGTCTTCTTTCCTTGTAATTTTCGTTGTAATTCTTGGTTTGAGTATTTTATTTTATTTATTTATCTTCACGCACAATCCCTGACGGGGTAGCCAGAGAGAACAGATCGCCAAGTGTCACGATCCTTACATATCTCTTTCGCTTCTTTCAGATTCATTATCTTCTTCATACATGCACGTCTAGGTATCCGAGTACTCTTGACCCTACCCTCTTCGAGCAATTTGCTCACATGGTCTTC